TCTCTCTGCCACGCCTCCATCGTTGCTTGTCTTTCCAACCCCCTTTGCTCTGTCGTCCTTTGTCCCACAGCCATCTCGTACAGTCTCCTTCTCTCCTCTGCTAGCAATGGGACCGGTATGAGCCCCGCCACCACCAGCACGGCCACAGTAGATACTGTGCGGTATGCATACGCCACCCTCAAGGCCATCCTCCTCTGCGTAGACATAACCCTGCTCCTGTGCCTGACGACGTTCATGGCCTTACTCCAGATTGGGGCCCCATACAACATAATGGAATTCAGCACCTGCGCTAGAACTCTTCTTCCGGTTCCGCCCGGTCCCCCTATGTTCGGCAGGACTCTAGCAAATATCTCCAGGGTCCTCTCCGCCTTTTGGCAGGCCCTAACCACATGTGGCCCGAAGGTCAGTGTCCTGTCTAGTACTATTCCCAGGTACAGTACTTCCTTACTCGGGGTGATCACCGTCCCCTGGACCCCGAACATGATGTCCTTGGGTTTCCTTCTGCCCGCCAGTATCAGCGCTTCTGTTTTTTCAGGTGCCAAACTAAGTCCGTTATGCCCCATCCAGCCGTCAACTACTGCCAGGGCATGATTCGCCTGCCTCATGAGGTCCGGCTCCTTCCTGGCGCAAGCCAAGAGGGCCAGATCATCCGCGTACGCGACTAACCGCACGCCCTCGTCCATCTCCAGTCTCATCAGTCCATCATACAATATGTTCCACAGGGCCGGTCCCAGGATAGACCCCTGTGGGACTCCCATGCTAGTCTCTCTCCACACTCCTCGATCTACCTCTATCTCCCTCTCGGATAGGTAACTGCCAATTACCCTTAACAAATGCGGGTCTATGTGTCTATCTGACAGTGCTCCCATGATCCTGCTCCATGGGGCCGAGTTAAATGCGTTTCTGACGTCCAGGCACACCATCGCCGCCCACTCCCCGCGGCGGTTTGCCTCCTTCGCGTATTTCAGGACCTCTTGTACTGCGTCCACTGTGGTCCTACCCTTTCGGAAGCCATACTGGTCCTTATGCAGGCCGCCTGTTCTCTCGATCTCTTTGTCCAGCCTCCCCAGGACTACCGCCTCGTACAGCTTGCCCAGAGAGTCGAGCAAGCATATTGGTCTATATGAGGAGGGACCATCCTCCTCCTTTCCCGGCTTTGGGATCAAGACCAATCGCGCCCTCTTCCATATTTTTGGGAACTTTCCTCTGCTATATAAGTTCTCAATAACTCTGTGAACGTAGCTCCCGTTCTCCCTGGCAAGGACCTTTACTGCCTCTGCCCGGATTCCATCCGGCCCAGGGGCCTGCTTCTCTTTTAGTCTTTCCGCCGCCCTCTGCACCTCTTCTTCCGTAATTTCCTGCCCCTGTCCGGCAGGCTCCTGTATTGTCCACCTCTCTCCCGGTATCGACGGGAAAAGGGCTGCCGCGATTTCTATCTTTCTCTCCGTAGGGAGATCCACTTTCGGGAAGGTTATTTTCAGTTCCCTCATTACAATCTTATATGCATCACCAAAAATGTCATCCGCCAGCCTTGCACAAAGACCCCTCCAGCATTCACGCTTGCTAGCCCTGATCCTCTTCCTGAAGGCCTTTCTCTTCTCTCTATACTCATTATATCTCTCGTTAAGCACTGCCTGCTCCACACCTCTACTCCTAGCTCTTGTCATGTATCTCCTTATGGCGACCAGCTCCCTCCTTGCCTGTTCCAGTTCTCCATTCCACCAGTACACCGTTTTCCCATCTCTCACAACCCCTCACAACTCCTGGTTCTCCCTCTTGTCCTCACAACTGCTGGTTTACATGCCTCCCCTAATGCCTTAATGCATGTTTTCTCGTCAAAAGGTCCCTGGGAGAACACTGGGTGCCTTCTTATGCCCTCCTTCGCTTTACTCTTATCGAATTCTGCGTATTTCCACTCACTCCTCCTGTTCTGAGGGCCGTTACTAGCCTCGAAATATATGTATTTATGGAGGCTAAGGGTTTCTTCCTCCATGACCCTCCATTTACCTATTTTTGCTACTAGCCTCTCTGTGCAGGCTGTGATATCTATGTGCGACCTACTGTCGCCCCTTTCAAAAGTTGGCGCCTTTCCCTCGTTCAGGATTCTTAAGTTCATCTGGAACAGCCACTCCGCTAGTCTTATTCCTCTCCTGTCCTCGCGCTCACCTCCCCACAGCGGCGACTTTCCATTAAAGTCGCCTTCGATTATTACCTCTATTTCCCTGAAGGTATGTTCCAGATTGGACAGGAAGTTTTCAAATTCCTCCAGGCTTCTGTTCGGGGAGAAGTAACAGCTGAAGATTCTCATCTCCCCAACCTGCACCCACACATATCCCTCGCCTCTCCCCCATCTTTGTACGGCTATATCCTTCCTGCATACAATAATGCTTGCATCCTCTCTAGAATCACAGTACCACTGTTTTTTTTTGTGACCTAGGCCAGAGATAATATTGGTGGAATCATTTGTAATTCAGGTCTTTTTCGTATGAATTACATATAAAACCTTGCAACATCAGAATCTACATACTTTTAAATTTGCCACATAAAAATATTCCAAAGAAAGCATTGATATATTCCTTCAGTTTTATTTTAAGCAAATACATATATTGTATAGTGAGATAACACCAATTCCCACAACACTAGATTACTGGAAGCAATAAAGGATGACAAATTATGGTTACTGGTTAGAAGTTAGAACCCATATGTCAAAGTCGTCAAAGTACATATGATAGGCTGCACCACTGAATAGTGAATATATACATTTTCGTGATCTGTTCAGGTTAGACAAGGTTAGAAATAAGATTAAAAGAGATAGAAATAGTAACTACCAGGCAGACGTATTCACCAATATTCGAAAAAAAGCCTTATTATTTTGACATCATTCATTTACTCTTTTTGAAGATTGTTTTGAAGTACAATACAATCATCAGAGGTAAACACCTTGAAGTCATCTGCATATAAGAGAACATTTGTCAGAAAGTTGTCGAAAATGTCATGTATGATAACTAATAATAAAGGGTCAAAAACTAATCCCTTAAGTACTTAATCCTAAGTAGCAACAATTTCGGTCTACGTACAACTACGATGTAATGTCGGTACAGGAGAGAACGCATTAGGCGGTCGTGGTCCGTTCTGGGCTGACCTGATCGCGGTCTTTATATTACAAAATCCCTCACATTTGACAATTGCACAAAATCGCGCTCTCCTTTAAATAGTTGCTTGTTTTAGTAGTGAAAATGAGTTCTATGGAAGCGGTGTTTCTATCAGCGGAAAAACATATTTAGGGGGTGAAATACACTCAAAATTCGCCCCCAAAACAGTTTTTTCTAAATATCTGGGGTTCTAAATATTATTTTGGAATGAAGCAAAGTGGAAATTACTTCTTATAAAAAACAAATGTTTCACAAGTGATTCCCTGTTTGGGGATTGCTACTCTTATTTTTTATTTCAGGAAAACTATAATTTTCAAACATTTTTTATATATAGGTACAAAATTTATATATGCTCAAAAAGAATTAAAAATATGATTTATGTAAACAAATTGACAAAATTAAATTGACCTGTTCCGGGGTTTTCGTTAAAATTTCTTTTTAGGGGGTGAACAACCCCCTAGTGCTAGAAATGTCTGTACGATTAGAATTAACATTGTAAAATATTACTTTTCCTTTAATCATACGAATAATTTTTTTCTATTAGTCTACAATGGATTTAAACGGATGCAAACTACCCCTCATGTTCACCCCCACAAACAGTATTTCCGTGATCTCGGGTGCTAATCAATATTTTGGATTGAAACAAAGTGGAAACTACTTCTTATAAAAAAGCAGATGTTTCACAAGTGATTCCGTATTTGTAGGTTATAACCCTTATTTTTTATTTCGGAAAAAAATATATTTTTCATACAAAATGGAAATTATTTCTATTGAACAGAACGAATGATTCACAAGAAATCTTGCGTGTAATTTGTTTATTTAGTGAAAATTTATGAAAATAAGAAATAAGTATAATTTTACCATCTACAAACCGGAGGATGCAATCCCTAATGTTCAATGGACTGTGAATCGTCCTATTTAGTAGAGGCCGTTTTTCGTTTTGCATAATAAAAAAAATTGATAGGGCCAATAGAAGACAGTATCAACTTGACTTCGTTTTTATTTGAATGCTCGTTATTTTAATTTTTAAATATTATTAGGAAATCATTGGGTACCTATTATCAGTTTTTTTTAATAGTTTTTGTAACAGAGTAACTGATATATGTGGATTTTCATTTTCATATCGATAACCAGTCCTGTGTGTGCATATGGCAATACCTATTTGTTTGAATCAAAATTTTACTGTTTTTGAAAATTTGAAAATATTGTTTTAATACTTAAGAAAATGAGTTCTCTTCTATTTAAAGAGGAAGAAAAGCGCCAAAGAAAAAAGCACGCAAGATTTTGGATTCATCCAATCAACAGAAGCAGAAAGTAGAAGGTGAATTTGAAACTTTATTAAAAAAAAATGTTATTGGACGAACAGCGATTTTTTCAGTACTTCCGTATGTCATCTGGAAAGTACAATGAGCTACTAGAGATTATTCACGAAGACATGTAGTTGCAAAATACAAGAGTTAAACGCTGCATACCACCTGTAGAAAGGCTGGCCGTTTATCTAAGGTAATTTCTTTTAAATTTCGTGTAGTCACG